GTACAGTGAATTAAATCCCCCAACAGATGACCCTCTTGACCTTCACCATCAGCTCAGAAAAGTGTGCTCCATTTTCCAAACAGCCGGTTGTAATGGGTCACAGACAATGCAGAGTTCTTTCTAGTCCAAGAGCCGAGAAAAGTGTCTTTTTCTCTCATAAATAAAAATAAGATTCTGTTCCCCACCTTGTGAGATTTAAGATGAAGTAAATATTGTGCAGTGGTTGACATTGGACTTAAGAACTGTGTACAGATAATACATTTTTCATGTACATTTCTAATATGAGTATTTCCACTTTATACTTATTCATAGGAAATGTTTTGTTTTTTCTTTTACTACATAGCATTGGCAAGGTTTTCAGAATCAGAATCATCTTTATTGGCCAGGTATACTTACACACACAAGGAATATAACTTTGGTGAACTGTGCTCTCTTATGTACAAGTATAACATTAAATATCAACAATAAACACAATAAGCAAAGACGAATATGTACAAGACTAAATAAGAAACAGTGCAGTGATGAGTAGTACAAAAGATGCTGAAGTAACATGATAATAAAAAAATGCAGTTATGTGACAGATGGGTTCATTTACATGAGGTAGAGTATTCAGTATTTACATTAATTACATTAGTGTGCTTATATTGAACATTTAAATTAAATTAAATATATATACGTATATGTACATTCACAGTGACGGTTTGGTTCAGAGTTATTTCAGAAGCTGAAGAAGAAACTGTTCTTATGACGGGTTGTTTTGGCTTAACGCCTGTCGGAAGAGAAGAGTTTGAAAAGTTTGTGTCCGGGGTGTGAGGAGTCTGCAGTGATACTTCCTGCCCATTTCCTGGCCCTGGACCAGTAAAAGTCGTGGATGGGGGGCAGGTCGACACCAATGATTGTTTCTGCAGTCCTTATAGTCCGTTGCAGTCTGTGTCTGTCTTGCTTAAAACTTTAAACATGTGTTCCACATTTAAAAAAACATGAGTTCAAAAAGTAAGTTTGTTTATGTTTTTAGGACTTTATCTGTAGAGTAATTTTGTGCTTAAATCCTCTCTGACTTCTGTGTAAACAGAAAATGCCCTTGTGATGGAGTACTTCTTCTTAGTTCTATTGACACTATTAGCTAAGTCAAAGATCTTGCCTTATTTGGTGTTTTCAATCCAGTATTTCCTCCCCTCACTATATCCACTGTTTATTTCATCACAACTCCCCTACAACAAAAAGAGAAGTGCAACCACACCAGGCTCTATCTCCTCTGTCAGCACAGAGAGACTCCTCTGACGTTATCAGTTCCTGTCGGTTCAGTCAGAATGACTATTTGGTTTTTCAGAGCTACACTGCAGCACAAAAAGGAAACATTATTTATTAGCCACAGTGGGCAATCCCCTTGTGTTCATACAATTGAGCAACTCGAAACAGAAAGTATTTTCCATGAGCCATGCTGGTATGAGGCTGGACTGCTTACAAGCCGACCTTTATGTCGCTCTACTATTCCGAGGGGAAGAAGGAACAAGCTGTGCCTCACTGCTGTGCACTCTCCAGTCCCCAATAAGTAAAAGTCATGAAATATTAAGTGAAGAGAAACATTCAATATTCAAGCCTGCTAAGTACACTGTGTCTGTCAGAAGTAAAATAGAGTTCATCAGAGGTGGCAACCGTACTGTACCACTGCAAGCAACCATGTCATGACCAAATACCACCCAAAACACAGGAAACTTTCTCTTACTGACCACCTTACCCATTGTTTCTGTCACTTTCAGTTCCTTTATATGATCTGGGAAGATCCCAGTATCTTAAATTAGCACACTCTGGCTTAAAGATGAAGATAAATATAAACTTTATAAATGCCCCATGGGGGAAATTTTTTGCATTACAGCAGCTCAAGAAAACAGAAGACGGGAATATAATTATTAAAAATAAAAATAAAACATATTTACATCAGTTAAATAAAAAAAATACATTGATGGAAAATTACACAGTATCTACACTGGAAAGAGTTATTGTTCTTAAAAAAAACACACACAGTGTGTAGCATGAGGTGGTGATGCTGTTAAAGAGTCTGATTAAACATGTTTCTAAAGAATTCATCAAACTGAGTCTGTGGATGAAGAAAAGTGTTTGGTCGAACTCTAAAGCCATTCAAAGGGTTAAAATAACTTGTGGTTTAGACTTCCTTTGTGGTGATTATTTACAAACTTAAAGGATTATTAGCTTCCACTCGCATGTAAACCTTCTGTATTGTGTTATAAGTCAAGTGAGGTTTGTTTTAAATGTGCTGTATAAATAAACTTGTTTTTTTTTCTACATATTATTATGTGAAACTTCTTTCTCCACCCCAAAGTTGACAGATACATCAAAACCTGGTGGAATAAAAAGTGAATGGGGGTGCCTGTATCTGATTTCTGACTCTATCCACTGTCCTTTCTCTCCTTTAAAGGCCCAAAAAAGCCTAAAAATAAACCTTACAAAAAATTGAAACAAAAACTATTGACAGATATGACAGGTTCTTATTCTTTCTTATTTGGGTGAAGTGTCCCTTTAAGCATAGTAATAATACAAATCTATTTGCTTTTGTAGTCCAACCCTGAATAACAAATCTATTTTATCTTTTACCTATTCCGAAGATTTAAGGCTTTTGCAGGGCAAAAATCTGTTTTCATTGGATACTTGTTAACATAGCAGAGGCCTTCCTTTGTCTTGATGCTTCTTTGAATGCTCATTGGTTCCCTAATATGTTTCATTGCAGTGCAGCTCATTACAGGAAAAGAGGATTTCACGGTAATTGCACAGTCTTCTGCTTTTTGTTTCAATTCCTTCATCCATCTGAAAGAAGAGAAAAGGAAGAAGAGAAGAAAAAAAGGAAAATCTAAATTAGTCTGAAAAAGTCAAAGATGACATACAACTGAAATGATTGTGTCTTTGCTTTCACAGTGACCTCAGGAGAACATGACATTTAGCTGATAGCACAGTAATATTCAACAACGACAGAACATAATAAGTAAATGATGGTCTGAAAACCATCAAAAAATGTTTACAATTCTGATGTATTCAAACCAAAGATGCCATGATGGTGCACAGCTTCAGTGGAAACATGTGAAATCATACTTGCCATCGGGTTTTTTTCGGAGCTCTCTCACACGCCATGTGAGGCTTCGAGGGCTGAAGTGTTAACCACTGTTGCACACAAACAATCAGACCACACTTTGTGTTGTCAAATATAACTAAATCCATGCGTATCAAAACTCACTTGATTTAAAAGTTCCTCTTCAAACTGTTTTTTTTTTAACAGTGATCATGTCAGAAAGGGCTCTGTATATTTTTGTACATTTGTTTGTTTTTGATATTTCACTTTGTATTTCTGAATGTGAGACGTGGGATAAGAAAATGTATAAACAGTGAGATTACATAAATCTCTACTATTCTTTAGAATGGGATTTTATCGGTAAACTACTAGGATTATTATGCAGTTACCAAGCTCCCAATGTCACTTTCCAGAACTAATGTAATGTCTTTGTGTAAACTTTTTATTGCAAGTATTGTAGTGTGTAGTGTGAATAATAACTTAGGTTACCAATAACCTATAAACTTTTCTTTTGTCCGAAGATCAATTTTAAACATCCAATGAGTTTGCTCTTCCTTGTATTAAAGGTTTGTTTATAGGTCATGTGACAATACATTCAAATATTTTAGGTCAATGTGATAAAAGTTGAATTGTGAATGCAGCCTTAGTGTCCCAACAACATTCATTTTTGTACCCATATCCTAAAACATAGTGACTAATTGGACTTTTAACTTCTAAAATATGATAAAATAATGAATCTATCTATCTATCTATCTATCTGAGAGGGGGAGGAGAGAGGAAAGAGTAGGCATGGCTGATTTTTCTTCTTGTGGTTTGTCAGGTTTCACTTTCCAGTCCAGAAAATTCCCTTCATCAGAGGAAGTGTGAGGTATTTGTCCAAAGAGAGTATTTAAGACGACCCTCAGCCTTCTATCTTCACAGTTCTCCTGTCAGCACACATTGCTTTGTCTGAGCATAAAACCTCATTAGCTGAACCTGCTTCTTTCTATCATCTTCACGGCAAGCAACAAATCATGTCGAGCATCCTCAAAGTGTTTCTGCTCCTGGCTGTCATGGTCTTCATCTCCAAAGCCCAGCGTAAGTTTTCATACGTTTTTTGTCATTCATCAACTCTAACAACATGAGTAGTTTATTGGATTGTATTCTTATGCACCTGCTCAGAAGTGGAGTTCTGAACTTTGACCTAAATAGTTGAAGTTGGGTTTGTTGTAACATAATTATTGTAGAAAATATCATCTACTTTTGTTTCCTTTTGTAGACGGTGAGCAGAATAAGGCACATTACTAAAATGTTTTCATGACATTATATAACTATTGTTTTTTCTCTTTATCTCTAGTCAGTGACTCCGGACAGCAGTGTCTGTGTAGACGAGTCAGGAAGGGAATCAGAAACCCATCTGAAGTAAAGGACATCCAGATTTACCCAGCAACTGTGTTCTGTGACAAAGTGGAGATTGTGTAAGAGACACTTAAATCATTAATAACAAAATTTTTGTTCATTATTTAAACATATTTGTTATATTTGCTTTTGTGTGCTTAAAGGCATGTGTCTCCCTCAGTAAACATGCAAATATAATGCCTAGAATTTACTCATAATTTTTCAAACTTGGGTCTGATCTCAGTTGTTTATAAAAAGTGAAAGCAACAGTAACCTACATACATAAAGCATACCACAATCTCACCTCTATAATCATCAGTCTTTCTGCCTGAGTCATTCATGCATTAGGTTACACTTTACCTGAGCTCACCTGTCTTGTTCATGTCAACAGTGTATCCACTAACAGCGGCCTTCGATACTGCCTGAACCCCCAGCTGAATGCTGTGAAACGACTCCTGGCTAACATATTGTGAGTATATTTACAGAATCTGAGTCTCATTCTTATAATACCCCGACCATCCAGCTATCAAATGAATCACAATAACTGATCAAAGTTTTGGGTGACAAAATGCCCTCTCTGTGTTAATGTGTCTAATGTGGGCCATTCCTTCATTTTATTGTCATCTCCAGGGCCAAACAGAACATCTCTTCCCCAGGCAGCACTCTGTAACCCTTTGGATCCCTACAAAGCTCAGATGATGTGAGACCCCCAACAAAGACACCTTAAAACAAATTCATATGTGAAATGTGTATGTCTATTTATATATATATATTTATACTGATGTTCACTTACAAAATGTTTCCGTTTTACATGTTGTGAACCAAGTGTTCTGTATTTTGTTCATTTTTTATAATAAAAAAATTAAATGGGAATATGGAGTCACTGTATTCTGTTCAAGGTTCAAGCCTGTCCATATGTCCTTTATCAACAGTGCCATCTTGTGGTTTAAAGCTACCAGTGCAATACAGAATGTGTGTCAGTCAGTGTGCTCCTATGCAGAAGTAGGTTGCCAAGAGTTAAATATCAGGGGGAGTGAATGGGGGTGCCTGTGTCTGATTTCTGACTCTATCCACTGTCCTTTCTCTCCTTTAAAGGCCCAAAAAAGCCCAAAAATAAACCTTACAAAAAAGTGAAACAAAAGCTATTGACAGATATGACATGTTCTATAGGTAAGTAAAAAAGAGAGTTGCTTTCTTATTTGGGTGAAGTGTCCCTTTAAGTAATTTTATATGCGCTAAATGCGATAGAATAAATGAACTACAGGAGGAGCTCATTGAAATGCACATGAAGCTTCGTCAGATGACAGAGCTCAACACTGTTTTAAAAGAGACATCAAACCTTCAGGACACTTTTAATGCCACGGTTTGAATCGGATCAGCCAGTTTGGGAACACAAAAACTCTGCTCTCTTTGCAACGACTCTACCGGTTCAAGAGCCATGTATGGAAACTCTCTCGGAGGAGCACTTTCCTCCGCTGACCACAGACGTAGCTGCACCTACCGAGGGACGCACAGTCGGCTCTTGCTCCACTCCGTGCCCCGGGGAACACTCATGGAAGCGGGTGGGTGACAGAGGACGGAAATCCTCTGTCCCTTACCATCTCGTCCGGAGCTCAGGCTGGAAAACCGTTTTACGGTTCTGAGCCCAGACTCGTCCCCCGACCGGCGTCTCTCAGCAGCACCCACCTCTTCACTTTCACCATCGTCCTGCTTCCACCGTGGTGATTGGGGATTCCATCGTCCGGGGGCTCTCGCTCCCCTCCCACGGAACCACCGCAGCGGTCCACTGCTTCCCTGGAGCCCGAGTGTTAGACCTCAACATCCAGCTTCCAGCCGTGCTTGCCGTGAGTACTGTGGTGGCACACATCGGCAGCAACGACACATCTCACCGGGAGTCCGAAATATTAAAGGAACATTTCAAAACTTTGATTTCCAGTCTGAAAGCAACTGGAAAAAAATATTGCAATATCAGGACCTCTTCCAACTCACAAAAGAGGCATTGAAAAATTCAGTCGCCTGTTTTCGCTCAACTTATGGCTAAAATCCATCTGTGATAAGGTTAAGGTCACCTTTATTGACAATTTCGATGTTTTCTGGGGCCGTCCAGCGTTTTTCAAACGTGATGGACTTCATCCAAACCACAGGGGCTCTGAGATGCTCGCCCAAAATATAGTGCGTGTATCTCTCCATGACCTCCGACCCCTTCAACCGCTCCTGATTTTATCAAAACCATCATCTCCACCCGTCACTTCTTCAATAGAACTACAAAGGGTCCAAACTTCAATAATCTGGTAAAAGTTCCCATAAACATAAATTCTATGTCCGCAAATAAATGTACAGAAATTAAAATGGCTCTTTTAAATGTAAGAGCATTATCAAACAAATCATTTATTATTAACGACCTCATTAGTGATCAAAACCTGGATTGTATTTTCCTGACCGAAACCTGGCTGGGCACAGATGCACCTGCCACACTCCTAGAGGCTTTTCCACCCAGCTACACCTTTTCTTTTTCCTGCAGAGAGGGAAAGAGAGTGGTGGAACAGTTGCTATCTATAAAGAGGCACTGAAAAGTAGGGACATAGATTTTGGAGAATTTTGTTCCTTTGAATACAATGCAACACTTTCAAAATGTAAGCCACATATTCTGGCGGTGACAGTATACAGAGCCCCCAACGTAGTTTTCTCCTCTTTCTTAACAGAGTTCTCTGATCTTTTATCTGTCGTTCACACAAGTTATGATGCTTGTATTTTAATTGGTGACTTTAATGTACATGTTGACAGTCTGGCAGATACCAGAGCCAAAGAGTTCTTAGAATTATTAGAATGTATGGGTTTTAAACAGCATGTCAATACACTGACTCACCAACATGGACACACTCTCGATCTGATTATATCATATGGCCTAAACATTAATATTTCATCCATCACTGACCTAGCTCTGTCTGACCATCATTGTGTGTTTTTTAACAGTTTTGATCACTCTCCTCCAGGTGCAATAGAACGTACAGTTAACAAACGGCACATTACCCCAGAAGTAGCCACAACTCTTACATCACATCTTACAGCTTACATAAATACCACCCTACCATCATCCTGTGAACAACTTGTTACCGATTTTAATTATAAACTGAGGACAGTGCTTGATGCCTGCGCTCCAATCACAACAAAGATAGTAAATACAAAAAAGGTTGTTCCATGGAAAAACAATGCGACCAATGCACTTAAGAGAGACTGCAGAATTGCTGAACGCAGATGGCGAAAAACAAAAATAGAAATTGATAAAAATATACTCATAGAAGCAATAAAAGACTACAACAAAGCCATCCGAAAATCAAGGCAAGAATATTTCTCAAACCTGATAAACAGCAACATTCACAACCCCAGACATCTTTTCAGAACAATAGATTCTCTGTTACACCCCACAACCAATAACAGCTCTATGCTCTCAGGCTCTAAATGTGAGGTTTTTGCTGGCTACTTCAGGGATAAAAATAGTTTACATTAGGTCTGGTATCTGTCAGCAAAGCAAGCACACCGCACTTTTTCCAGTATCACGTACAATCGGTGATGTCAAGTTGGAAAGTTTTGCCCTGGTTGATACTGCAACACTCAGGACAGTGGTAACAGAAATGAAGCCATGTGTTCCCTTGACCCAATTCCAACATCCCTTTTTAAAACCATTTTTAATTCAGTATCAGAAGATGTCCTCAACATAGTAAATCACTCCTTACAGCTAGGTGTCGTCCCTACTGATTTTAAGACTGCCTTAATTAAACCTCTTTTTAAAAAAAGGGAACCTGGATATTTTAACACCTAGCAATTTTAGACCCATCTCAAACCTGCCATTTTTAAGCAAAATTTCAGAGAAGTTAGTTTTTAATCAGTTGAGTGCCTTTTTAACCTCAAACACTACATTAGAAATGTTTCAATCTGGCTTTAGGGCATGCCACAGCACTGAGACAGCCCTGCTAAAAGTAGTTAATGATATCAGAAAAAACCTCAACAACAACAAGCCTTCAGTTCTGGTACTACTCGACCTCAGTGCTGCTTTCAATACTGTTGACCACCAGATTCTTTTAGATAGACTAAGTGAGCATGTAGGCCTTTCTGGAAATGTTTTTAACTGGTTCACCTCGTATTTGTGTGACAGAAGACTGCACCTCCAAACAATACGAGGTCTCCAGTGGGGTACCACAAGAATCAATTTTAGGACCACTACTTTTTAATTTGTACATGTTACCCCTGGGTGGTGTCATCAGGAGGCACGGAATCTCTTTCCACAGCTATGCTGATGACACTCAGCTCTATGTGGCCGTGTCTCCTGATGACACCAGACAAATTGACTCACTTTTTAATTGTATTTTAGATATAAAAGCCTGGATGTCACAGAATTTTTTGCAGCTCAACCAGGACAAAACAGAGGTTTTAATCATTGGTTCAAAGGCTAAGAGAGAGAAACTGGCCCCCAAACTAAAAAAAAAGGACTCAACCCAAGTCAAGAAGCATGGAATCTTGGGGTGATCTTTGACTCAGATTTTAATTTTCAGGGTGTCACAAAAACAGCATTTTACCACCTGAAAAACATCGCCAAAGTGAGGCCATTTCTCTCTCTGAGCCAAACAGAGAGACTAATGCACGCTTTTATTACTAGCAGGCTGGACTATTGTAATGCTCTCCTTTCTGGTCTTCCAAAAAACACAACAAATCGGCTTCAGCTACTACAAAACTCTGCCGCACAAGTACTGATAAAGACCAGAAGGAAAGCACACATCACACCTGTTTTAAAATCTTTACACTGGCTGCCTGTTAGTTTTCGTGTTGATTTTAAAATTCTTTTATTAGTTTATAAAGCATTACATGGCCTTGCACCAGACTACCTATCAGATATGATTTTAGCTTATGAACCAGTACGGCCCCTCAGATCCTCCAGTTCCTCTCTCTTAGTTGTTCCACAGAGCAGGACAAAAACCTTTGGTGATGCTACTTTCAGCTGTTACGCTCCGAGACTGTGGAACAACCTTCCTGAGGGTCTGAGAGGAGCCCAGAATATCGAGATTTTTAAACGCAGTCTTAAAACTAATTTATTCAGTCTGGCTTTTATATAGTGTTTTATATCAATTCAAATCTTAACATTACTGTATTGTCTTTTTATCCTACTACAATTTTAAATATTTTCCTCTTATGTATTTATTTTAATATCTTGTTGCTTTTATGTGTCATATTTTATTGTATTTTATTTTTATACATATATTTTATTTGTAATTCTTATTGGTGTGCATTGGTCTCTCAATGATTTTATCAATGATTTTATAAACTACTTTTCATCAATATCTTTTCTGCACTCTTGTTAAGCACTTTAAACTGCAATTTAATTTGTCTGAAAGGTGCTATATAAATAAAGTTTGATTGATTGAAGCATAGTAATAATACAAATCTATTTGTTTTTGTAGTCCAACCCTGAATAACAAATCTATTTTATCTTTTACCTATTCCGAAGATTTAAGGCTTTTGCAGGGCAAAAATCTGTTTTCATTGGATACTTGTTAACATAGCAGAGGCCTTCCTTTGTCTTGATGCTTCTTTGAATGCTCATTGGTTCCCTAATATGTTTCATTGCAGTGCAGCTCATTACAGGAAAAGAATATTTCACAATGATTGCAGTCTTCTTCTTTTTGTTTCATTCCACCATCCATCTGAAAGAAGAGAAAAGGAAGAAGAGAAGAAAAAAAGGAAAATCTAAATTAGTCTGAAAAAGTCAAAGATGACATACAACTGAAATGATTGTGTCTTTGCTTTCACAGTGACCTCAGGAGAACATGACATTTAGATGATAGCACAGTAATATTCACAACTACAGAACATAATAAGTAAATGATGGTCTGAAAACCATCAAAAAATGTTTACAATTCTGATGTATTCAAACCAAAGATGCCATGATGGTGCACAGCTTCAGTGGAAACATGTGAAATCATACTTGCCATCAGGTTTTTTTCGGAGCTCTCTCACACGCCATGTGAGGCTTCGAGGGCTGAAGTGTTAACCACTGTTGCACACAAACAATCAGACCACACTTTGTGTTGTCAAATATAACTAAGTCCATGCGTATCAAAACTCACTTGATTTAAAAGTTTCTCTTCAAACTGTTTTTTTTTTAACAGTGATCATGTCAGAAAGGGCTCTGTATATTTTTGTACATTTGTTTGTTTTTGATATTTCCCTTTGTATTTCTGAATGTGAGACGTGGGATAAGAAAATGTATAAACAGTGAGATTACATAAATATCTACTATTCTTTAGAATGGGATTTTATCGGTAAACTACTAGGATTATTATGCAGTTACCAAGCTCCCAATGTCACTTTCCAGAACTAATACAATGTCTTTGTGTAAACTTTTTATTGCAAGTATTGTAGTGTGTAGTGTGAATAATAACTTAGGTTACCAATAACCTATTAACTTTTCTTTTGTCCGAAGATCAATTTTAAACATCCAATGAGTTTGCTCTTCCTTGTATTAAAGGTTTGTTTATAGGTCATGTGACAATACATTCAAATATTTTAGGTCAATGTGATAAAAGTTGAATTGTGAATGCAGCCTTAGTGTCCCAACAACATTCATTTTTGTACCCATATCCTAAAACATAGTGACTAATTGGATTTTTAACTTCTAAAATATGATAAAATAATGAATCTATCTATCTATCTATCTATCTATCTGAGAGGGGGAGGAGAGAGGAAAGAGTAGGCATGGCTGACCTTTCTTCTTGTGGTTTGTCAGGTTTCACTTTCCAGTCCAGAAAATTCCCTTCATCAGAGGAAGTGTGAGGTATTTGTCCAAAGAGAGTATTTAAGACGACCCTCAGCCTTCTATCTTCACAGTTCTCCTGTCAGCACACATTGCTTTGTCTGAGCATAAAACCTCATTAGCTGAACCTGCTTCTTTCTATCATCTTCACGGCAAGCAACAAACGAATCATGTCGAGCATCCTCAAAGTGTTTCTGCTCCTGGCTGTCATGGTCTTCATCTCCAAAGCCCAGCGTAAGTTTTCATACGTTTTTTGTCATTCATCAACTCTAACAACATGAGTAGTTTATTGGATTGTATTCTTATGCACCTGCTCAGAAGTGGAGTTCTGAACTTTGACCTAAATAGTTGAAGTTGGGTTTGTTGTAACATAATTATTGTAGAAAATATCATCTACTTTTGTTTCCTTTTGTAGACGGTGAGCAGAATAAGGCACATTACTAAAATGTTTTCATGACATTATATAACTATTGTTTTTTCTCTTTATCTCTAGTCAGTGACTCCGGACAGCAGTGTCTGTGTAGACGAGTCAGGAAGGGAATCAGAAACCCATCTGAAGTAAAGGACATCCAGATTTACCCAGCAACTGTCTTCTGTGACAAAGTGGAGATTGTGTAAGAGACACTTAAATCATTAATAACAAAATTTTGTTCATTATTTAAACATATTTGTTATATTTGCTTTTGTGTGCTTAAAGGCATGTGTCTCCCTCAGTAAACATGCAAATATAATGCCTAGAATTTACTCATAATTTTTAAAACTTGGGTCTGATCTCAGTTGTTTATAAAAAGTGAAAGCAACAGTAACCTACATACATAAAGCATACCACAATCTCACCTCTATAATCATCAGTCTTTCTGCCTGAGTCATTCATGCATTAGTTTACACTTTACCTGAGCTCACCTGTCTTGTTCATGTCAACAGTGTATCCACTAACAGCGGCCTTCGATACTGCCTGAACCCCCAGCTGAATGCTGTGAAACGACTCCTGGCTAACATATGTGAGTATATTTACAGAATCTGAGTCTCATTCTTATAATACCCCGACCATCCAGCTATCAAATGAATCACAATAACTGATCAAAGTTTTGGGTGACAAAATGCCGTCTCTGTGTTAATGTGTCTAATGTGGGCCATTCCTTCGTTTTATTGTCATCTCCAGGGCCAAACAGAACATCTCTTCCCCAGGCAGCACTCTGTAACCCTTTGGATCCCTACAAAGCTCAGATGATGTGAGACCCCCAACAAAGACACCTTAAAACAAATTCATATGTGAAATGTGTATGTCTATTTATATATATATTTATACTGATGTTCACTTACAAAATGTTTCTGTTTTACATGTTGTCAACGAAGTGTTCTGTATTTTTTTTATAATAAAAAAATTAAATGGGAATATGGAGTCACTGTATTCTGTTCAAGGTTCAAGCCTGTCCATATGTCCTTTATCAACAGTGCCATCTTGTGGTACCAGTGCAATACAGAATGTGTGTCAGTCAGTGTGCTCCTATGCAGAAGTAGGTTGCCAAGAGTTAAATATCAGGGGGAGTTGTTCTATCAGGTGTCTTCTAGACACCAATGGGTCTTTCAACTATTTACATGTAAACCACACCAGAAACCAGAGCAGCAGACACATTCTGGCATTACAAGTTCCATAACCAGCCAACACCATGTGTGTCTGCTCTACTGTGACAGTAGGGGCGTCTCTCATCAGTTCAGTCTCATAGGCTGTAATCTGCAACACCCATTACACACTCACTTAAACATACACACACACAATTCTCTGCAGACTTATCCTCGCCTCCTAACCATCATTTACAAATCCAAACCTTAACTTTTGTTGACCCCAACATGGAGGGAGTTTTCAGCCCTCTACCAAAAGTAACAAATAGGCCTACTGCTTAGTCTAAACTCTGAAAAGTTACCAATTAAAGTAAATGAATCAGGAAAATGTGCTTTAAGGGGTAAAAGTCAAACTAACAGGGGCAGAAAATATGAATTTTGTAGGAACTGTTAAGGTGTTTTAAAATGATTACTCTTATATTAATGGAATTTATTGTTGCTGTCTGTAGAGGTGGATCTCCTGAAGTATTTTATCGGACCGCAACTACTTCTTTATTTAAATAAAGTAATATATTTCCAACACAACAAACCTCCAATTAATCTTTTTTTTTTTTTAAATAAATAAATATTTAAAAAGTTTGCTTAGGCGTTGCTTTTTTTTTTAAATTTATGACCAAAAAAACACATCTTGTCAATTCTTTGAATAGGTCGTAAATGGGCTTAAAAGATTTAACATATAATATAACAAGCATCTCCACTTATAAATGTTTTATTATAGATATAATTTAACCGTATAGTTCCCCTAAAATGTTGTGGAGTAGAAAGTCGCATGAAACGAAAAACAATCAAGTAGGGCCACATCAAATAGGCTTTAAGTAAATGTAATGTAGGCCCTTTGAAACTTTCACTCACACACACACACACACACACACACACACACACACACACACACACACACACACACACACACACACACACACACACACATTAAAAAATGTAAATTATTACCCAACTCTTAGGCTACATAACACCTTCCAGATTGCGCAGCTTCAATTTATTATATGACGGTGGGGTTTCCTCACTATATGTTATTTCATACTGTAGCACGTCATAGTTCCGTTGTATTGCAGGACTCTTGTCGGGGTTTCTAATTACGTATGTTCACTTGCTCCAGCTCCTCAGGAGAGGCGCGTTCACTGGATCTGCGTGGACGTCAGCGCTCTGTTTACTCTGTGAATGTCCAAAAGTCATGGATGAACCAACCGGAGAACAAACACAGTAGGCTATTTGCTCATTTGTCTTGTCAAAGCGGCGCGACTGTGAAAAACAAATCACTGCAGCTGTGGAATAAATAGGCTACAACAAAGAGGAAATTTTAAAAGGTAAGGTAAGTGTTAAACTCACTGTATCATGCATGACGAGCTACTCTCCTTCACGCGAACGCTGCAAAATGACTGGACCATTTAAAGTGAGATAAATGCCGGACTAAAGGCTGAATGAATGTAAGCCAGATAGAGATCAGAACATGTAAAAATCGATTATGATTTAAAAACTATTTTTCTGTGCGGTATATGTTTGGCTTCCGTGCTTTTGTTTGATAATTATACTTCACAGATTATGTTGGACGTTTGTGCCACACGCCCAAAGCATGACACACTGCCGGTTCCTGTTTTTGCAAGTCACTGTTTTTGGCCCCCGACAGGGCTGACGTGAACAGCACTTTGATGTCAGATGTCTGAATAGTAGACTGGACTGCTAAATAGCACCGACCTTTCCCTGAAAATTCTGACACCTGCACACATTTCGATTTTGCAGATCAGCATTCGTTTAAATGAGGAAGATTCATGTCAGTTTCAGTGGACAGTGATCAAAGAGAAGGCTGATAAGGAGCTCTGATAAGAGAGGTACACAGGTTCATCATGGGACAGGTGGACTAATACGAGTGTTTTTGTAGCCTACACAAGGAACCATGATAGGTTTCATTCTATTAGATCAGTGGCACTCAGCCTTGTTAGACTTAAGAGCCACATTGACCAAAAAATAATTATGCAAGAGCAACAATCAAAAAACCTCTTTCTCTCCTAAAATATGTGTGGGAAACACAGTGACATGTCTTGCAAATAAATATTTCTGCTGATAATGTTTACCTTTTTTAAAGAATTACTCTATATTTTTTTCCCCCCAAGTAGGACCTAAAAGAGCCACAACTAGTCCCAAATGAGCCACATGTGGCTCAAGAGCCTCGGGTTGAATATCACTGTATTAGATACCCAGTTTCTTCAAAATAAGTCTTGTTTCCTTCTTTAATTCAAAAATAATATGCCCCTCATAGTGTGAGAGCGTGACGCCTACATTATCTGATGTTTATGACGGTGCTGTAATCAGACTCCTGCTTCTATTTGGAGCAGGTCAGACACAGGACACCATGCAGTGTGCACAGTGAACACATCATTTCATTAAGCTATATAGTACAGTTTATAAAAACATATATTCATATATTTATTCATAGCCTTATGTTCTCTCCAAAGCTTTTGTGGCATTATCGTGTTGTTCCATGACACTCTATAGCCGACTTCTTATAGGAGCAGGTGTTTCTGTCTTTGGTCTATTGATCCTTCAACACAGTGTGATATCATGTGATGATGTGTTCAGGTTTGGAGGCTCAAAGCAGAGTGGACCTCCTCACCCTCCTCGGTCTCTCGTGGTCAGCCCCTCTGATCTGTGGTTGAAATGGCCTCAAGGCAGGGAGACATTCCAGGTAACACAGAAATAAAGATTGAAAATGAATCAAAACTCTTGAACTATATATTATTTCTGTTTTTTGTTTAAAATGAAATGATAACTGGTTTGGGCTGAGTTTTAACATTTCTTCCTATATCCCATTGTTCAGCACTTGAGTCTGGCAGTTCACCTGGTCTCTTCGGCGCCTTCTCGTCCCCCATTGGAATGACTCGGCGCAATATAAGCTATGATGAGCACATGGATTCTCCTATGCATTCCCCACCCTCAGACATGACTGTTAACATCTTATGGAAAGATCCTGTCATCCCAAAGAACAAGTTCAGGAACACTGCAGAGGTGCTTTCTTGTTTGCTCTGACTGTCTGATCCAAATTGTTTTAAAAGATTACCCGCACATAACATTGTTTGTATTGGCTTGTGTGCACTTCTTCCTGAGGGTTAGGTGCATGCCTGCACACGTTTTACTTGCTCACCTATTTTGTTATGTAACTGGTTTGTAAATTAATCTTAACAGTATAAAGTTCTGTGATAGGAAGGCGAGATTGGGGGGAAGATGCTGACGATTGAGGCACCATTGTCAGCCAGGACCCCAGTGCCTGTTGTGAAAGCCAAAGCCACCTCTTTAATGAGCTCACTGATGATCAGTAAGTCAACACACCAACATTCATTTACAGTTAGATTAATACCTAGACATGCAAAGGCATAGATTAGTTACGTTTCTTCACAGGATTATGTATGATATACAGCATGTAAAAATATTGACCAGACTGCTGATTGTATGTCCATCCTCATCCAGAGCAGACCCATGAGAACATACAGAGGTTTGAGCATCAGGCAGGACTGACAGATACCGGGTATTCGCCCCACAAAGGGCTCTCTGCTGAGGAGACACGCTTTCACCAGCTCTGCAACAGCCCACTGCCAGTAAGTATGAACAGATGTGAGGCAGCAGCTTTCATGTAAGGAAAGTAATCAACATCCATTAAACACTGAAACATATTAATTAGGCTAATTGACTTGTGTACACGGAAAACAAAATTTGATGTTAATGTTAACCAGGTGTTATGTATGAGTAATGAGCTAGGTCTCTGTTTATTCCGAGGTTGAGAGTTTAACAATGCACATGTCTGCACATGCACTACGAAAACAGTTTTGTTATTGTAGCCTACATAATCAGAATAACACATTATCAGGCTTATTCCAGGTACAAAAAAAAAAAAGTATTTGTCTTGTGTTTCAGACTAAATAAACAAATATTACTGTAAGAAATATGATAACACTATTGTGATCTGCTAAGTGATTGCAGGTTAAATATGGAACAATGTTTTGGTAAACAGATTACGTAACGAGTCTTCTGCTTGAGCGTCCATCGGCAGGAGTGTTGCCAGGCAACGCCCCGAAATGATTCGAACCGCCCTATTTTCTCAAACGGACCAATCAGTGAGCAGATAACAGAAGCGTCGTTTCACAGACCCATCGCAGACGGTATCGTCTGTGTTTCCCCGACACATTATAACCTTACACTCGTTAAACCCGCTAATTATGGACAAAATGAAAGAATATATCGGACTGGAACGCCATAGAAATCTTATCATTAAAAGGTACGTCAAAGAATTGTTGTGTTTCGCTTACGTTTTAGGCGTTTGTACAGAACGGCCTAAATGCAGGCCGCTAGCAAAGCTACATCGAATGCTAACAAAACTGAGATCGAGCTTTATAACTTCTTCATAGCATTAACCATCGACTATCAACCTTCCTCAATTTGTAAAAAACAATGGATAACCTTAAATAAGGCAGTTGCTATAAGTAGGACGTTGACTTACTCGACTAAAGGGAACGTATGTTAGTTATGTGTTGAGCTTGATTCAGTCCCGTTAGCTGCTATGTGGCAGTCTGGTACCGTTAGCTCAGCCTCAGCTAACAAATGCGTTG